TAGCTTAATTAAGAACTTCTGCCTTGGCATCACACAAAACTATTTGAAAAGTTGAGTATCTTGGTGAGAACTATGTCTTAAAAAATATCAATATTTTGGGGATAAAAAATAGGCAAGAGACTCAGACACAGAATCAAAGTATATACCAATTGGGCAAAATTTTTCCTCATTGCCCTTCATGTTTATGTGCATTAGTGAGTGTTCTCTCTTTATATTTGACATATCATGGTCTTTATTTGAAGCTATTGAGTCATTTTTATCTATTTCTTTAATCCAATTTTTAAATTATGTTTTCCACAGGCATAAAATAAAATTCACAGAAGTTCTTAGTCTTCACATCCTAGCTTTTAAGAATTCTGGCATCGATTGACTAAGGGTCACCACCATTTTGCATAATAGAGTTAAAATTCAAATTAGCCTTGGATTTTTAAAGAAAGGATTTCTAAAATGTGAGATTCTATAGTGACCAGATATTAGTTCTTTCAAAAACAATAGTTAAAACAAGAAGTCCTCATTCACTTTAAACTAGATTCTTAGTATTTTCAGAGAGTTGCACTAGTGTATTTATTCCTCAACTAAAGTGTGAGTGGTCTTGACTCTCAAGCCCATGAATTTCAAATATACCTAGTAAGTGCAGAATCTTTGAAATTTCTGAGCAGGGACATTACATGGTCAAAACAGGATTTGAAGTGTATCTAACTATAAGCCCAAAGAATGATTGACCATAATGAGAGAAGAACTAATAAAAAAATAATTTTAAATGTAAGAGGGATAAGTTTGATTAGCTAAATAGTTAATTTTCTGAAAATAATTTTTTGCAATTTCTACTTCTTATTTAGTACTGGTTCATTCTTAAGAAAATGTTGAGCATTTGGGTTGTTTCCAGGTTTTACCTATTGTAAATAGTGCTGCAATAAACATAGGTGTACAGGTGTTGTTTTGAATCACTGTTTTTGTGTCCTTTGGTAGATCCCTAGTAGTGGAATTGCGGGGTTGTATGGTAAGTCCATTTTTAGTAGGAACCTCCAGACAGCTTTCCACAGTGGTTGGACCAGTTTGCACTCCCACCAGCAATGTAGGAGAGTTTCTTTTTCACCGCATCATCGCCAGCATTTGTTGTTGCTTGCTTTTTTGATATGTGCCTTTCTCACTAGTGTAAGGTGGTATCTCAGTGTGGTTTTGATTTGCATTTCCCTGATTTTAAGGGATGTTGAACATTTTTTTCATATGCCTGTTGGCCATTTGCATTTCCTTTTTGGAGAAATGTCTTTTGAATTCTTCTGCCCATTTCTTGACTGGTTTGTTTTCAAGAAGATGTGGTATATAAACACAATGGAATATTATTCAGCACTCAAAAAAGATAAACTTATGCTGTTTGCAGCAACGTGGATGGAGCTAGAAGGAATTATGCTCAGTGAAATAAGCCAGAAGGAAAAAGATAAATATCGGATGGTTTCACTCATAACAGGAATATACGGGAACCAAAAAGACATCAGTGTAAAAAAAATATTAACAGCACAAAACACAACAAAGAAAAAACAGACAATTATAAACCAGAGACATACTGCAGTGGAGGAGTAGGGAAAGGGATCAGAGGGAGGGAGGGAGGAGCACAGGGGACTGTGGTGATGGTGCCTGGGTGCCTTGGGGAAGGAAATTCTATGGAGACTCAATCTGAGGGGATGGGGAAAGCAAATGTTGTCTAAAAAATTTCAAAAAATAATAAATGTTAAAATGAAAATAAATGAATAAATTTGAAAAAAAAGAAAATGTTGTTGAGAAGAAACAAGTTAACTTCTCATTTCATGCTGTCTCCTGATTATCTCAGTTTTCTACAGCTGCCACAACAAATTACTGCAGTTTGAATGACTTAATACAAATGCATCATCTCACAATTTCTGTAATTTGATAAGTCATGACTGGATTGTCTGCCCAGAACCTCACTGGGCTACAATCAAGGTATTGGCCAGAGATGAAGTTCTCATCTAGAGTCTGTGACCTCTTGCAGACTCACTCTTTGTTAGCAAAACTCATTTTCTTCTTCCAGTTCTCCTGTGACCCATTCCATCCTCAAGCTCACAGTGGCAGGCCAAGTCTTTGTCTCACTGAATCTCTCCTCTCCTGCCCTCAGCCTGGAGAAAGCACTCTTTGTAAGATTTTATGTGATTACAGTGGGCCCATCTGGAATACAGGATACTAAGCTTGTTTGAAGTCTATTAACAAGTAAACATATTTATGTCTGCAAAGTCCCTTTTGCTGTGTTAAGCAATATATTTCACATATGTGACACTAGGAAGTGAAGGTCATAGGACCACAGATTTTGTTTGCCACAGTGATAGCGGCTCGGTTATAACTTCAGAGACCATTCACATATAAATTAAAAAAATATATACTTGCTGAAAGACTTAGGGTTTAACATGACTTTATTATTAACTATTGAAGACATTCAAAAAGGCATACATCAATAATATGAGCACCTGTATGGTTCAATACCATAAAGTGTTGTGAAGTTCAAAATGTAAAAGTTATCTTTTTTTGATTGCAGAATAATATTCCACTGTGTATATGTACCACATCTTCTTGATTCAGTCATCTATTTTTGGGTATTTGGGTTGTTTCCAGGTTTTTTCTACTGTAAATAGTGCTGCAATAAACATAGGTGTACAGGTGCTCTTTTGGATCACTGTTTTTGCGTCCTTTGGGTAGATCCCTAGGAGTGGAATTGCTGGATCATATGGTAGCTCCATTTTTAGTAGACTGAGGAAGCTCCAGACAGCTTTCCATAGTGGCTGGGCCAGTTTGCACTCCCACCAGCAATGTAGGAGAGTTCCTTTTTCACCACATCCTTGCCAACATTTGTTGTTGCTTGCTTTTTTGATATGTGCCATTCTCACTGGTGTAAGGTGGTATCTCAATGTGGTTTTGATTTGCATTTCCCTGATTTTAAGGGATGTTGAACATTTTTTCATATGCCTGTTGGCCATTTGCATTTCCTCTTGGGAGAACTCCTGTCATTTGCAGCAACATGGATGGAGCTAGAAGGAATTATGCTCAGTGAAATAAGCCAGAAAGAAAAAGAAAAATATTGGATGGCTTCATTATAACAGGAATGTGGGGGAACCAAATAAGACATCAGTGTAGAAAAAATAACAGTAGCAAACACAACAAAGCAAAAACAGACAATTACAAATCAGAGACACCCTGCAGGGGAGGAGGAGGGAGAGGGATCTGAGGGAAGGAGGGAGGAGCACAGGGGACTGAGGTGATGGTGCACGGGTGCGTTGGGGAAGGAAATTCTATGGGGACTACACCTGAGGGGTGGGGGAAAGCAAATATTGTTTAAAAAAATAAAAAATTTGAAAAAATGTTGGATAAATGAAGAAAAAAAAAGTTGAAAAGCTAAAAACAAGAGGTAGACAATATAATACCCATTTGTAATGTCCAAAGAACTTCATGTATATTAAGAGCTTAGATTTGTTTACTTGTTCCTGCAGGAGAATGTACTTTTGATAATAGTAAAGGCTGTTATTTAGTGACTAGATGGGGCAGAGGAGAGATTCCCCCCTACTCCTAGAGTTCTTAGGCTGGCCACACAATCAAATTAGTAAGAGAGAGTTTGATAGGAGAAAAGACCTTTAATTCCTCATGTATGGAGAATCTAGATGGATGTAAATTCTAAAGTAAATGTAATGATCTGTAGGGTTTTTATTCTGAGTTTAGGAATGAGATCGGGTCCTGGGGCATCAAAGAGAGATTGGGGGGACTCAGATGATGAGGAGTGGGTGACCAATATACAAAAAAACAAGTGTTCTGTATTTAGCTGTTTGTGCTGCGGTATAGATAGGTTTCTCTGAGAGAGTTTATTTTGGAGGTAACCCTAAATCTCAGTAATACCACCATCTTCATTCTTTTCAGTCATTGAAGGAGTGGTAACAGTTTCTCTTGCGCCTTGGGACCTCTGTTCATCTTCACTCAAAATAACCCACATGCCAAAGAGACACATCTTGAGAAGGCCTGTTCTGGACATCTTGTGGAGGCCTGTGCCTCAAATGCTCACTATATGCACATACCTGCACCAAGTTCTCCCTTATGTTATCTCCTGTCTTCTCAGCAATCCCAAATGCTGACAGCATTTCTGTTTTAGGATGAGTAAACTATAGCTCAGAAAGGTAATGGGAGGTCTGGGAAAATGATTATTCCCAAATATATAGGAATTATTTAACAATTTCTCCCTTCATCAGAGGAGGCTTGAGAATCTCAGTAGCAATATGATTTCATGAAAAGAAAGTGTTTAGAATCAGACCTGTATTTGAGTACTGATTTCAGCACTTAGTAAATTCCTGAAACCTTTGTGACTCCAGCTCCTAATTTGTAAAGTGTGGTTAATAAGAAACACCTCCTGGGGCTGGTACAAGATAACATGTGCAAAGAACCTGGTATGTGACAAGCTCTAGATAAAAGTTCTTCAAAGTAGCCTCCCTCCAGAGTAGCTAAAATGCATCTGGTTCTAAAGCACTTGAATAACTCAGGAAGTAAGTTCTCGGCTCAGACCAGCTCCTCCTTATCTGATAGATATTTAATAGGACATCAGGAGATGTCCTAGGTGCTGAGATCTAAGGCACTGGGGATAAATTCCTGTGGTCCCAAGACCCCTCATGGCACATTCATGTGAATAGCCCAATGGTTGAGTCTAGGAGCCTGACCACTCAGGACCTGGTCTCAAAGATAACTTATAATCACCAAATTGGACATAATATAATAGTTAATTAAGAGGCACCAACTTAGCAAAGGACTTTCCTGGCATCTTTCCAAGAAGCCACATGCCACAAAGTTCTAGTGGCTCTTGCATTAATATGTATATGTGTGCATTGTTTTTGATTGCTCTAATCATACTTGAAATGAATCCAGGAGTTTTCTACAGCTCAGAGACATTAATTCCTCAGTGCCCTCTCCCTCCAGGCTCTGTCTGAAGGCTTAATTCTGCTATCTTATCTCTCTAGGTATGTGGAGACCAAAGCCAAGGGGCTGTTTTCCTGCGGGAATTTACACTGATTCGAAGAGAGAGCCTTCATGAGGATTTCCTGTCTGACCTCTTGAATAGTCACAAAGCTGAAGACTCGGTACAGTGTCTCTTCTATTTATTCTTAGAAACATAGAAATTCAGTTGCTAATCCTGAATTGTGGTCATTGGTTTTTGCAAATCTGAGAGATTTGGGAGGTATTTTCTTCTATCTATGAGAAGAGGGAAGCAGGGTGAGAAAGTAATAGGCACCCTGTACTGGCACCTTTCTAACTTTTCTTTGTCTGGCAAGTTTCAAATATTTTACTCAAGCATTTATTTGGATCAGCGTGTGGAGGGTTCTCATTTTAAAATAAGTGCTTTTTTTTTCTCCCAGCAAGTCTTAACATGAAATGGTTATAATTTAAATGAGTGAAGAAAAGAGGAGGTTTATATGTAAAACCCAAATTGTTTTATGGGTCAGTGGAAATTCTACCATCCCATAATCCTCGTTCATTTTGGATATTTTTACTTCAAAGTGTCTGTTGTATTTATTTTGTGAAAGTTTATTTCTCTTGTGGTTTTGGAAAAAAAAAATTAAGAAAGTGAGCTCTCAAATGGAAATAAGTGGAGTTGACTGATGATGTTGAGATGCAGGTCCCTCTCTACTTGCAGGTAAACTGTGGTTTTTGACTTGTACTTTGTTGTGAGATTGGGGTGGCTAACTTCTGAAAATTCTAAAAGTGACTGTCAGTGGCGATGACCTTGTGCTCAGAAGTATTCACATTATAATCTGAGGAGGCTGGATACTCATGCCAGTGGGCTTCTAGTCCAATAAAATAATTGTAGATCCCAGAAAGTAACCCCTTAGAATCACTCCAAAGCAAACACAAGTGACTTGCTTTCTATCTCCTCTACCCTACCTCCTGGCAGTCCTCACTCAAGAGCATTTTTTGCATATTTACCTCATAAACTGATCCAGATACTGAGTAAATTCACTCACTCAGTAGTCACCACAGGCCACCTCTTATTGCACTTGCTATTTCCAAGTGATGGATATTCACATCCTTCTCAAAGCTTGCCTCACAGCAAGGACTAGAGCATGGTGAAGCTTCCCAAGGGCACTAAAATTAATTTTCATGCAGTTCATATGTTTTGTTAAATCTCAGTAAACTCTGAAAATGCAAAGTGTGCCTTTTCAACTTTTATTATTTTCTCCAGCCTTTTTTTGATGATCGCCTAAGGTATACACACATTACCACCTACATTTTATTACTTCTAGTGGGTAATGTCTTGTATTTATATTTTGATATTGTCTCATTTGATGTTATGCAAAATCTGCAATATACTGTCTAATTTTGAATTGGTTTATGAAAAGTCCTGCTGCGTGAATATTATATGCAAACTCATAAACAAGATTATGTATTACATAACATATACCATAATGGCAATTGAGTGATATGAAATAATTATGAATGTAATGGAATTGTCATAGTGGCGCCACTAAAAATGACAATTTCTGTCACTTGGCAAGCACTGTTACTACATAGTATTACACTGATTTATATCATAATGAAAACTGTGAGTGCCATCAAATTTTATCAGACCTACTGAGGTCATAAGTAATTGAGTGGGTGCATGCATTTAACCTGAAAGAGGAATTACCTACAAACACAAATGGGTTGCACAAATAAACATGTGTGGGAAAAGAAAAGATCAAATCTTCCTAAATGCCAGAAGCGAATTCAACCTCCAGATCACTTTTGAGAAATTCTAAGTATTTCTCTGGAAGGTGTGTCTCTCTCTGAGGCCTTTACTTGGCCCACAGGATATAAAACTTTGAAAGTGTAACTTTAGTTTCTAAATAGGCATTAAAAGATGAATCACCATAATCCCTGTGTTTGTCTAAGGGGAAGAGTTCAAACATGAGTTCCTACTTGTATTAAAGCCAGAAAAGTGGAAATACTTTTTAGGTCCCTTATTTATGAGTTTCTGCTACATTGGAAGGAGGCCTTGCAGTAGAATGGGAGAACCATCAGCAAGAATACTTCCTGGAATAGGTCACCAAAAGCACTTCACAAAGGCAGGTGGGAGAGAGAAAAAAGGTTGAGCAACATAGTCTGTTTGTACAGTTCTATCTGCTTTTGGATAAATCCTCTCTAGTATCCCGCTAACAGACCTATACATACTTTACCTCCACTACCACATTAGTAGCTCTGTTTCTTGAAGTTCAAATCCATGTTGATTCTCACCTCCCAAGGATCTATCCCTGCACTTGCATTTGATAAATGCAGTTGTGTAAGTGTTTATTGATGGAGAAAACTCACCATGATTATTCTCTATTACCCTGTGGTTAGGATTTTAGATTGAAAACACTAAGATTCCATCACAGACTATGTACACAAAGGGCTTATAGATGTGACAATCTTGAATGCAAAATATTATTGTTAAAATGGCATAAATGACTTCAGTTTTTAATGAAGTGGTGAAATAGTATCTGTGGTTGTCTTCCATGATGTCCTTTCAAACCAGTGTATATGCAGTGCGTTGGATAGATGCCTAGTGGAAATTTATAATTGTGGAAGTAACGCATTTATCCAAAAAAATGTATAATGTTTTGGACAGAAGTATCATTAACTGTAGTAAACACCTTGTCATAATCTGGGATAAAATTATTGTTATCTTCTTTTTAGGTCTTTAATTTTTCTTTACTCACACCCTTTCTTTATTGTTTACATCATTTATAAAAGCCAGAAGAGCTTGACTTATCATATTCATGGAACTCTCACCATAATCTTAGTTTATTTTGGTCACTTTTGACCTGTAAGTGACATTTCTTCAACCCCTCCTCAGCTAGAGCCTTTTGGCACAAATTGACTTTTACATTACATTAGAAAAATCTTTCTCATTAGCTTCCTCTCAGAGGACTGATTCCATTCACCACATTTTGAAAAGCAGTCTAAGTGAGCCATTTGTCTAGAATCCACAGCAGGCAACTAAACTTCTAATCATTGCCTGAAACTCTGCATGTGTGTGATTTGCATTGTTTGCCGAAATAAGATGTTTGTCAAAGGCTGTTATTCATTACTGAAATATTCTAGAAACAGATCACGTTGATTTGTGTTGTCAGCTGGGTACAAAATCAGGATAATAATTAACGTGAAATTCATTATAGAATGGGATTTTCTTCAGGATCTACTTAGTGAAAACCTCATTTGCTGGTAGCTTTGTGGTTCACAAAGCAGTTTTTTGAACCATGATTATACCATGGTAGAAAAGAAGTTATTTAAATATTTATTCCATTTGTGGGTAGAGCATTCTTGTTAATGACTGTTAAAATGGAGTTGTCCTTTGCAGAATAAATATGAGCTTTTTAGGAGGGGATTCTCAAAAAAGACCTATCTTTAAATGACTGAAAAGAGACTGTTTTTCAGTCAAGTCAGTAATTCTCTGATGCTCAGCTAAAACACAAATGCAAGTTACTAAAATGGTTCTCTTTTAAATAAAATTATGTTTTCCCTGTTGTGAAATGTAGGAGGATAGGTGGGGGCAAATATTAGTTCTATGAACTGATAAATTAGTTCTACCAACACTTACATAAAATGGAATATCACTACTTTCATATGAACTCAAGTTGTTTACCAACCTTCTGTCTAATCCTGCCAAGGGAATGTAAACATTAGAATTTAACTGCTAACTTCTGACAGTATTAACGTAATTTGCTTAATTATACTTTTAAGCTGGCTACTATTTTTGAGTATTTAGTGGACATGAATACAAGGAAATAGCTATATGTCAAGAGCATTTCAGTTACTTAAAAATGACTCAGTTTGTTACTCTCCATTCAGCATCTTCCCAACCATATTTATTCAGCATGATCTTGACAAAATTACCTTTTCCCAAAACGAAAGTTTGATCTATTTGTTCACCAGAGGTATTGGTCAGACAAAGAGAAGAAGGAACTAACACTTAATTACAAATGCACACATGTATTTTTTTCTCACCTCATTTTGTGCCAATGAAAAATGTGAAAGGATCTTGAAGGAGCAAGATGTTTTAAAAGTAGAAATACACTCCAACCTTTGATTTTTGTGACGTGCTTATAGGCACCAAAATTTCTCCTTGGGAAAGCATTTAGCAATAAGAACACTAGAATTGGTTTATAGCACACTGATGACTTTGTGTTACATGATATGATATCACAAAGGAAAAATCAGGGTGCCTTATAAAGTGCAATATGTTGTCACATTTATGTTTTAAATATTATTTACCCTGTGTTTGCCAGACTTATTTAATGCATTATGACTGTCAGTTTTGAACTATTAAAAATAATTTAAGTTCAGCCTATATTTTATATAACTTTATACTTCTGCTTATTTTTTGCTACTCAAAACTAATATTCAACATCATTCCTACATTTATGTGGAAAATACAGAAGAAGGTTGCAGAAGTCCCAATGTAAACCAAGCCCTTTACTAAGGGATTTACATCTATTCTTCAAACAACTTGATAAAGACAATAGAAGATCCATTTTACAGTTGGAAGAACCAATTGGAAATGTAATATTTTCAAAGACACCACTCACAATTGTAATAAAATTATAAAAGCTACAAACATTATGAAAGAGTCACAAAACCTAAATGGTCAACAAATAACTAAAAAAATAACAGTTATTATCATGTTATTCAGCAGGTTTAGAATGTTGCCTACCCACTTGATAGAACAGGGGAACTGGATTGGGGATGTGTGCATAGTATACTTTAATCATATCTATAATATTCTACTTTTTTAAGGAATATGGTAAATTGTTAATATATGCCCCTATGGCTAACGGTTACAAAACAGTTTATTATTCACTGAACTTTTTATGATTAAAATATTTTCAAGTTATATGCATGATAAAAACCTTCATGATAATGTTTGGCAAATAATCAACACAAAATAAATGCTATTTTATTAGCAGTGGTTGAGCTAGCAAATCATTGAAGCACAAAATGACAAAGCTCAGTGCCCAAGATTTAATATATACACTATTCACATTTTTGTCTCATAGAATAATTAAGTAGTTAAATGTATGACAACAGAACAGAAGATCAGGGGGTTTCCTATCAGTTCATGAAC